AGTGCCCTCTTGCTGTAGAGGAGGAATTGAGTCATTTTAGAAACTTTGGTGGGGTTGCACGAGACAATAATCCCAAAAGGATGAGTGGGGTGATACCTCTGGCTCTGCGTATTCTCCATCACCCTGGGCTGGTGGAAGCCAAATGGTCAGAGCACAAATTATCCCCACCCTGGGGCTGCTTTACGTTGTCTGAAGCTTCAGCACGACTGAGAATAAGGGTCGTATCTAGGAATAATGATAAATATTTGCAAAATACATTAAAGGTAAAACCCACGGTGTTAATAACGAGTGGAGCCGCTCGGTTTTATCCCATTACCCCGACAGTCGCTAATGGGCAGGAGGAAGACGTAAGAAGGAGTTTCTTTATATTTTTAGTAGCCTTAAGACTCCTTTGAAACCTTCACCCCGATGTAGGAGTAATGAATCACACCCTCGGCGTGGTGTTAGGATTCCGCACCACGCGGCGTTTTCGGGCGCGAGGAGACGAATATTGTTCGGTGGATGAGTTTCCTTGTTAGTGTGGGGTGGTTTCTTTCTTTTTTTTTTTTTTTTTTAAAAAAAAAAAAAAGTCTTCATTGAAGTGTCTTGCCATAAAATTATGCTTTGATCATATCCATTTGCCGTTAATGAATCCAGATGGGTTAGAGGCAACTGGATTGTAACTCTCTGATAAGACGTGCGCTGCCTTTCATTTCCTCGCGCGGAGTTTCAGAAGATCCTGCGCCGGCCCAGCTAACGAATCCAGCCATATTAATGTGGCCTAATGCATCCCTAATACATACCCTCCCCGGGGACACATGCAGATGTGTCAGGATTGCTTTGGAAAAGGTTAAAGTGTTACAGAAAAATGGCCATTACCTATCGGGGGACTGGCTCCTTTCATATGGTAATCGCCTTTTTTTTTTTTTTTTTTTTCCCCTGCCTTTTATTTTTTGAAATCGTGCAAGTGGCTTTGTATTTCCTTTAAATCAAAAGATCTTATTCTGAAAGCAAGCTATTGGCAGGAGCTGAGCTGTGATTTGAATGTTGTTGTACAGAGGAGAAAGCAAGTGGGAGAAACAACGTAGAAACTAGCAATACCTTCTCTTTTAACATACAGATCTTTGGATTTTTTAAGTTGTTTGCTCAAATGTTGAGTTACGTAAAGGAAAAGAAACGGGGCAGGTTTGAGACCAGGTTTAGTTCCTCTTGGTGGTGTTCCACGTCCAACCCATTTTTTTGGCATCCAACCCAAGTTTGCTATTCCACAAGGATGCCTGGAAGGAGAGATGCTTCTCCTGGAAAACTGAGAGAGATCAGTTAATAGCGTGGGTCTGCTGAAAACCTCACCCCCCTCTCACCAGTGAAATACCAGTGGAAAATGAAAAGTATGTTTATTCATGCAAAGAGGAGAAAAATTGCTTGTATCTTCCAGGTTGCTATGTGTGTTAGGAAAGATTTTATTTTTTTCTTCACTACGTATAAATGTTAACTCGAATGCCTCACCCTCAAGGATCAGGATCAGCCCCTGGAAGGAGACTTCAATTTGGATTGAAGCTGCACAACAACTTCTGTATTTTCCATTTGTGCAGTCAGAGCTGTTCGTATGGCTCACGTCAGCGGGTTGGAGGTTTGGAGAGTGGCCTTTTCCTCTGCTGACAGACAACCACTGGCCATGGCAGCAACTTTAAGCCATCTGGGTGCAAAGTGAAGCAACCTCTGCTTGACCCCCTTGCACCGGTCATGGTTGTTTGGGCTTGAAGGTTGAAGGACAGGAGCTCGTTCCCCAGCTCAAAAGCCATGAAGGCATGAATACAGCCCACCTCTAGCCTGGTGGACAGGGAACTGGTGGAGAGGGTACAGCAAAGAGCTACGAAGATGATGAGGGGACTGGAACATCTCTCTGATGAGTAAAGGCTGAGGGACTTGGGTCTTTTTAGTCTGGAGAAGAGAAGGCTGAGGGGGGATCTGATCAATGCTTATAAATACTTAAAGGTTGGGTGTCAAGAGGACAGGGTCAGTCTTTTTTCAGTGGTGCCCAGTGACAGGACGAGAGGTAACAAGCACAAACTGGAACATGGGAAGTTCCATCTAAACATGAGGAGGAGCTTCTTTCCTGTGAGGGTGGCAGAGCCCTAGAACAGGCTGCCCAGGGAGGTGGTGGAGTCTCCATGTCTGGGGACATTCAAACCCACCTGGACACATTCCTGTGGGACCTGCTCTGGGTGACACTGCTTTGGCAGGGGGTTGGACTAGATGATCTCCAGAGGTCCCTTCCAACCCCATAACATTCTGTGATTGTGTGAATCACTGGGTAATTTCCCCACTGCGTTTATCAGCCCAACCTACATGGGTTTGAGTTTACCCTCAAGGGGAAGGTGCCAAATCGGTTTGGTTTCCCATTTTAGTGGAAATTGGGTAAATACTTAAAATGCTGCCTTCTCCTGTTCCGGGGTCAGCCTGGCACCTCGAGCAGGGATAGCAAAGAGCCTGGACGAGGTCTGAAAGCAGCATCCCTGGCTGCTGCAGCCTCTCCACGTCGTTCTCTGCTTCGTTTGCTTGCGATGGCTCCGGGTTGCAAGTCCTTTAGGGCTGGTTGTTCTCCTCCGTGTGCATCAAGCCCAGGGTGGGATTGAATATTTATTAAAGCGCCAAGACGTGTAGTACCAGGAGAAGCGGTGTAAACAAGAGCATCTGAGAGGCAGCTATGCCAGACTAGGGTTTTGTTTGGACAAAATAATCCCAAATTGTTGCTAATGACAATAGGAAAGATCGGTTAATTCCTGCGATTTGCTTAAGAGCAGGCTTAATAAGATGCAAGAGCAACCCAAGGGAAGGTTGGGGTTGGTTTGGGTTTTTTTTCTTCCAAGTACAGTTGGGAGCCAAGGATGTATGGGGAACAGCACAGGTGGTGGCTAAACCTTCCTTGAAGCCCCCACATGCTACGGAGTCCTGTGTGCTGGTGAGGGTCTGGAGAACAAGTCCTATGAGGAGAGGCTGAGGGAACTGGGCATGTTTAGTTTGGAGAAGAGGAGGCTGAGGGGAGACCTCATTGCCCTCTACAACTACCTGAAAGGAGGTTGTAGAGAGGCAGGTGTTGGCCTCTTCTCCCAAAGGACGAACGACAAGACCAGAGGAAATGGTCTGAAGTTGCGGCAGGGGAGATTTAGATTAGATATTAGAAAGAATTACTTTACTGAGAGAGTGGTCAGGCACTGGAACAGCCTGCCCAGGGAGGTGGTGGAGTCACCATCCCTGGAGGTATTTAAGAAACGTACAGACATGGCTCTTCAGGGCATGCTCTAGTGCCCAAGGTTATTGGTTTATGGCGAGGTGTTGAGTGTGGGGTTTAGTTGGTGGGTGCGGTGTTTTTGGTGGGCGTTTGGTGTGGTGTTTTTTTTTTGGGTTTTTTTTTTTTTTTTTTTTTTTTTTTTTGGGGTTGGACTCGATGATCTCAGAGGTCCCTTCCAACCACTAAGATTCTGTGATTCTGTGCTCGGAATGAGGATGAGGTTCTGCAGATGCCTTTTTGACCAAATCAGGGACAGGTAGCGGAGCAGAATCAATTCCCTGTCACTCAGGGGGTTGCTCTGGAGGAGCCTGGATTATGGATCAGGGTGACGCTGCCATGTTTTTAATCTGGAAATCAATAGGGAGAGGGAAGTTGGGCTTGTGGGGATGCGGCGGAGACAAGGATTCGGGGTTTGATGAGATTTTGCTCCACAAACAAGGGAGTCGCTAACTCCTCTTCGCATCCTGATTAACACAGGATTAAATTCAGCCTGGACGCAGCTCTCTCAAAGTCCCTGGGGTCCCCCCTGTATAATTTGAGCCCAGAAATTCTCAAATGAACAAGGGCTCCCAAATGCTTCAGTCTCCTTCTTTGCCTTTGCACGTTACTCAGGAATAACCCTTCGTTCTACCGAGCCTGATATTAATTCTATTTATATCAACCTGGGGCTTCGATAACCTTCCTGCCGTCTTGTTTGTAGCAACCAAATTAAATACAGGAGGCAAGTTATAAATACAAACTGGGCCAAGTCACCTTGGGGTGCCTCAGAAATGCCAAAAATTCTGGTTAAATCTCGGGACGTTATCGGTTACGTGGTACCTCCTTCTGCAGACTGTCCAAACTTCATAGAATCATAGAATCGTCTAGGTTGGAAGAGACCCTTGGGATCATCGAGTCCAACCATCTACCCTACTCTACAAAGTCCTCCCCTACACCATGTCCCTTAGCACTGCATCTAAACGGCCCTTAAACACATCTAGGGATGGTGACTCCACCACCTCCCTGGGCAGCCTGTTCCAATGCCCTATCACTCTTTCGGTGAAAAATTCTTTCCTAATGTTCAATCTAAACCTACCCTGTTGGAGCTTGAAGCCATAACTTGCTCATCTGTAGGATGTGGAGCAGCATTTTCATTTTGCAGGTTTGCCCTTGTTGTTCCCATGAGTGTAATACACAGCTTGGGGGTTTCCAGAGCACCTTCCAGTAGCACTGCAAGGTGCTACTTCAATCTCAGTGTGTGTCCTGCACATGGAGTTTTATGGATGGGAGCGGTGGGTGAAACCCCTGACCTTTAGGATAGTCCACAACCTCTGAGTCTGGAATTATTGGTCAGATTGAAGTGCTTCAGGGTTTGCAGGTCCAAGCAAAGCTGTGGGTGCTCGGTTCCTCTGAAAATCACCCTTTTGCATTTTGAGGTTTCACCTAGTGAAGGAAAGACCTGGTGAGCTCTGCTGGTCCTCAACCACTGGAAGAAAATCCGAACTCTTTTCAGACCTGATACCCAAAGCCCTAAGCTGCCCTCTTCCATCTCTTGCAGGGTTTCTGCTTTTTCCTCCTTCATTTGGTTTGACGTCACTGGGTGGCATGGGCTGCTCCAGCATCTGCTCAGTGTCGGGGAGCATCAGCTGTACAATCACATCTGTCACAGTAATTAGCAAAACATGAGAAGGCTGAAATTAAGATTCACGCTGAACTGTTCTTCATACTTGTGCTTTTCTTTCTTTTCCAGAGCACGGTGATCGTGGAGAAGACCGTTCAAGACCTGATGAACCTGATGCACGACTTGAGCGCCTACTCGGATCAGTTCCTCAACATGGTGTGTGTGAAGCTCCAGGAGTACAAGGACACCTGCACCCTTGCCTACAGGTACAGGAAGGTTTGGAGACCCACGTCTGCTGGAGATACTGCTCTTAGGCTTTTGCTATTTTGCCATGAGTAAATTACCTCTAGAAGTCATCTCTGCTGGAATGATCAAGGATATTTCTTTCTAGGTGGGGAAAAAATCCGAAATAATGATCATTGGCATATGAAGAGTCTTGGCTTCCCAGTGACTTTATCCACACCACGCTGTGGTTTAGGCTCTTTAAATGTGGATAGCAGTGGTGGTAGAACTTAGAAACCACACAGCTTTTCTCTTAATCAGGCAAAATGTGACTTCACGTTGGAGATGGAGAGTATAAGGCATCGTCTTTAACATAAATAGCTGTATATAGCTACTGCTTTCTTGTAAAGCAAGTGAGATCCTTCCAAGTGTTCCCATGAGATTCAGCCATATTTTAATCATTTATATTGACATTTGGTTGTTCAGATCTTGTAGCAATGTGGGAATTGGTAACCACAACACATCATATAAATATACACACGCTGGGGTTTGTGAAACTTTCCCAAAAGCTTTCCATGAGCTTCTTCTCTCAAGGAGTCACCAGATGCTCTGCCCTGGGCTTTCTCGGTGTTTTGGGGTGATCTGTGATCTCCCCAACCATGGCATGGAAGATGGAAGCAGTGTGGTTCCCCTGGCATAATCATGATGGGTCGTGGGGCTCAAGTCCTCCAGGAAGTTGCTTTATCTGAGATTTCCCAGGTAACCATCAATAAATAACTTAATCTCTGTACATCCCAGTTGCTCCTCTGTAAAATGTCCCTCCCCTGGAGAGGGGGACAAGGATCGTGCCCCATTCCATGGGGATAAATACTTGCATTGAAGGACACTAAAGATGTTGTGGTGATGTGGGCTATAATAGCTGCTATTCATAATTTCCTTTAATGGCTAATTGAGGCCGGCGATAGGAGGGGAAGCTGAGAAAGCCCCTCGTGTTTTCTGACCAAGAGCATTAAGAAATTATTTC